TGCAATTTGGCCCAACATTTTCAGAAAATTGTGTGTGGCCCAGCTTCGGGGATAGTTTTCAGTGAGGTCCCTGGAAATGCAGCGAAGGTTGGTCCTAGCTAAACGGACCGCTCCGACGCAACCGCGAGGTCAGAATAGTGAAATTCTGAACGGTTTGGAAAGATTGTCAAAACATGGGTGTTTGCCATCTTCAATACTCGAAGGAAGGTTGCCGGATATTGTGGAACGCTGCGGATTCACTGAAGAGGTAGAATGGGCAGATCCAGATTGGACAACCATAAGATTGAGATAGATCATTGAAGACCAGAGGAGATCAGGCTTGATCAAAGGCAGATCGAGAGATGGATTGGTCAGGGGCGATCAGAGGATGCAGACTTATCTTCAAGGTCTAGGAAAAGTGAAAACACTGTCTAAGGAGACTGGTTCTTAAGTGGGACCGGTTGTGACCCCACCAGTCTTTCCTGGGAACTTTCCTGGTTGTTGAGTGATCGAGAGGATCTGGTTCAATCAAAGAGAAGACCATTCATCGACGGATAGATGATTTGGCAACCAGTACAGGCTCAGGGAAATACTGTGGCTGTTGGAGCTACTGTATACGAGAAGGTACTAATGGTATGTGGACATGTAGAACAATAGTTGCAGAGGAGCATACTAAGCGCAGATGTACAATTGCAGACGTGCAACAGTGCAAGGGTACGCTAGAGTGTCGTACAGAGGCGCGAGAAGAGTGTGCAGCAGCGGGTTGTTGACAGTTCACAGGAACTTCCAGACAGAGAAATTGAGACAGGTAAAACGCAAGAGTGCGTGCCAAGGAGTGGCAAGTCTTATTTCTCTATGGTGGTTTCTTTAGTTCCATGGCAGCAGATGATAGATTGATGCAGATCTCTCAAGCAAGCTTGACGCAGGGAGACCAGAAGCCATGGGTGCGAGCACTATGCACGGAGTTGCATAGTGGTAACTGTACAGACCGGTGGAAGTTGTCTTGACAGAAGGGCTAACTGTCAAACATCAGTACGGACAAGTGAGACAGAACCGAACATCAGGGATTGCAGCACAGACAACAAGCGTATGTGGAAACGCCAGGAGGTTGTTCAGAAGTGCAGAAGGGCAAAGGCTGGTTGTTCAGAAATAAGCTCCGAGCAAGGAAACTTGAGGATGTTGATGTGTCAAACTCTGAAGTTTTCTAGTTGCTCCAGTGTTCATCATGCAAGGAGTTGCATGATAGTCAAGGGCATCCAAGCAGGGGGTGCAGGACATCCAATCAGGGGGTGTCGGATATTTTGGTTGCGCAAGTTCAAGGATAGCAGGTATAGACATCCGAGACAGGAAGCATGGAAGAGATCTGTGGGAGATAGGAGCAGTGGCTCTCTCCAAATCAGAGAGTGGTGTGAGTTGAGTTGAGGATGTCGGATTCCCTCCTCCTCTTGTATCTCTGGTGTTTTATCTCTAGCTTCAGGGGATGCAGCGTCTCAGTGAAGAGATGCAGACTATGTTGAATTTGGCGTGACAAGATTAGCAACAGTGTGTGTAGTGGATCACCTCACATGGGTTGAGGGGGTGATTTGTTGAATTCACCCATGTGTGAAAAGGGGTGATCATCAAGTCAAGTTTGGTTGACAACAATGGGAAGGCAACCAACCAAAGTCACCTTGGCGGCCACCAACCATCTTGAAGAGTCAAGGAGTGAGGCTGCCCAAAGGCTCTCCCACCTACTCCCTCACCTATAAATGGAGGTTGAGAGGAGAGAGCAAGTGAGCAAACCGTGAGACAACAAAGAGAGTGAGAGATGTGGGCGGAGAGACCGTCTCTCGGTGTGAGCGAGGGAGACGGGTGAGTGTCTGAGTGAGGAGAGTGTGAGCTCCTCCTCTATTGTAATCTTTCTGTAATCTCCTCATTGGTATAGTGATAACCGGTTACTCTCCCGTGGACGTAGGCATTGGGCCGAACCACGTAAAATATTGTGTCTCCTTGTGTGTGGGTGTGTTTTTCTGCTTGCAATGATTTCTATAAGGCTTGGCGGGATCCCAGATCTCAACAATTTTCCATACCAAGGCAGTCTGTTCAGGTTGTTTCAACATTTTCCAGCCATATTTAGCATGTTCCATCCCAATGGTGATAATTGATAACTATGATTGTCAACCATCATTGATTTAGAAAAAGCATGTCGAGTGCAAGGTCAAATCAATGAATTTATGGGTTTTACTTCTTCTTTTCTTTTCCTTTTTGTAAGTAGAAGATAGAAATTTTATTGCATGACGCCAACAAAAGGGGCACAAACCTATACACACCATGTTTAGGGAGGGAGTTTCCTTTTCCTATGTATTAAACATGTATGGGAATATACGGGTGTGCTTGATTTCTTTTTAAGATAAATTTTCAAAAAAAAAAATTGAGAGAGAGTTTAGAAATTTTTTGGATTGTTTGGTTGTATATTTTGAAAATAGTTTGAGAGTTTGGGATGATTTAATATTTGTTGTAGTTGAGTAGATATGTATGAGAGAAAAAATGATTGAGAAGAAAGAGGAGAGAGGAAAAGTGATTAATTAATGTGTAGAAAGGAGAAAGTGATTTTGGAATTTTCTTTTCAAAAATTATATCTTGAGATACAAACCAAACAAACCCTACAATTCTCCAAAATGTAAATAAAATCAACAAGGAAAAAAGAAAAAATCTTCCTATGCCAAAAATACATGAGACCGCAGTATTTCCCCCAAAAATTCAATGAGGAAAAATTATGATACCAAATGAGGCCGGTATGTTTTCCTATAGAGATCAGTTTTCCACATTTTTTTTTTTTTCAACAGCTTCTTTTTTTTCTTTGCTTCTTTTTCAGAGACGTAACCCCCAAAAGTCCCAAAACAAAAACTAGAGGATTGGAAGACGAATGCGGGAAGACAAACAGAGGACCGGTGAATGGCGGCGGACCGACGATCGGGAAGACAAACGCGGAGTCCGACCAAAGGCCCAAAATATCTCAGATTCTATATATATGTATCAAGTTATATATATATGTTATAGGTTTTATATCTCTCTTCTTCTTCTATATATACATACATATAATGATATAATATGTACTGCCATAGCTTCCTAATTGGAATTTTGTAAAAATTAGGACTTCTCTTTCATGTTCAGGTTCTTGTTGAATTCACCCATGTGTGAAAGGGGTGATCATCCAAGTCAAGTTTGGTTGGCAACAATGGGAAGGCAACCAACCAAAGTCCACCTTGGCGGCCACCAACCATCTTGAAGAGTCAAGAATGGAGGCTGCCCAAAGGCTCTCCCACCTACTCCCTCACCTATAAATGGAGGTTGAGAGGAGAGAGCAAAATGTGAGCAAACCGTGAGACAACAAAGAGAGTGAGAGATGTGAGGCGGAGAGACCGTCTCTCTCGGTGTGAGCGAGGGAGACGGGTGAGTGTCTGAGTGAGGAGAGTGTGAGCTCCTCCTCTATTGTAATCTTTCTGTAATCTCCTCATTGGTATAGTGATAACCGGTTACTCTCCCGTGGACGTAGGCATTGGGCCGAACCACGTAAAATATTGTGTCTCCTTGTGTGTGGGTGTGTTTTTCTGCTTGCAATGATTTCTATAAGGTCTTGGGCGGGATCCCAGATCTCAACAAATTTTCCATACCAAGGCAGTCTGTTCAGGTTGTTTCAACATTTTCCAGCCATATTTAGCTATGTTCCATCCCAATGGTGATAATTGATAACTATGATTGTCAACCATCATTGATTTAGAAAAAGCATGTTCGAGTGCAAGGTCAAATCAATGAATTTATGGGTTTTACTTCTTCTTTTCTTTTCCTTTTTGTAAGTAGAAGATAGAAATTTTATTGCATGACGCCAACAAAAGGGGCACAAACCTATACACACCATGTTTAGGGGAGGGAGTTTCCTATTTCCTATGTATTAAACATGTATGGGAATATACGGGTGTGCTTGATTTCTTTTTAAGATAAATTTTCAAAAAAAAAAATTGAGGAGAGAGTTTAGAAATTTTTTTGGATTTGTTTGGTTGTATATTTTGAAAATAGTTTGAGAGTTTGGGATGATTTAATATTTTGTTGTAGTTGAGTAGATATGTATGAGAGAAAAAATGATTGAGAAGGAAAGAGGAGAGAGGAAAAGTGATTAATTAATGTGTAGAAAGGAGAAAGTGATTTTGGAATTTTCTTTTCAAAAATTATATCTTGAGATACAAACCAAACAAACCCTACAATTCTCCAAAATGTAAATAAAATCAACAAGGAAAAAAGAAAAAAATCTTCCTATGCCAAAAATACATGGAGACCGCAGTATTCCCCCCAAAAATTCAACTGAGGAAAAATTATGATACCAAATGAGGCCGGTATGTTTTCCTATAGAGATCAGTTTTCCACACCTGAATTGGCCAATGCATCTTTGATAGACAAATAAGAGATTTTTGCACCATTACCCCAAACTTTTATATTTGGTGATCAAAAACAACGACAAGAAGAGTGTGAAGCAAAACTCACCCTTCAAGGTTCTTCTCATCGCAGTAGTTTCCGAGAGCAACACACATATTTTTGACTCTCGGTGCACCTATGCTGTTAACCATAGAACACAATTTCTATCAAAGGCTCAAAAAAAAAAAAAAAAAAAAAAAAATTACCCAAAAACAATTTGTTGGGAGAGTAATCTAATCACATTTTTAACTCACATCAAATCTCTCATTTTAAATTTCCTACAAAGTAGAAGCATGGATTTTTGTAACAGTAATTCTATGAACTTAGAACCAACCACAAAAAATAATGGCAGCCACACACATCAGACGATGGGGCCACCATTGAAGAGACTACTCCACTCATGCTGCTCAGTTCTACGATGGGTTCTGTCTCATAAAATTATTCAGTGTGTTTAATTTTAATTTTTTGGATTTAATTTTTAAAAAATTGAGTTTTTTGTTTTTATGTTTTTTTTTTTTCAAGAGAATATTTTTAAAATTTTAAGCAATTTTTTTTTTTTTTACTTTTTTAGATGTACCTTATTTAGATGTATCTAAAAAGTAAAATATTTATAAAAAAAATATTTAAAAAAATCAATAAATATACAAGAATATGAAAAATGTGCTGAATTCTTATAATTTTTTTTTGTATTTTTGGTATTTAGTGAATTTTTTTTAAAAAAAAATTCACAAATATTACACTTTTAAAGTGTATTTATGTTAGGTTTATCTAAAAATTTTAAAAAAAATGTTTGCAATATTAAAAAAAATCAATAAAAACAAAAAAAAATACATAAAATAAAAAATGTCAATTATCTAAAAGTAAATCCTGAAAATTCAAACCAAACAAGCTGATTGTTTTTGTAAAGAAATATTAAGTCGTCAACATTACAAATTTGATGAAAAACTTATCAGAATCCTGTTCCAACGTTTTCATCAGTTTAGTATCAAATTGAGGGTATCTAAAAGTTTTCATCAAAATGCTTGAAATATTTCATCAAATTACTATAAATAGCCATTACTATAAATGCCTGAACAATCAACCAGTTGTTCTCCAGACATCCACTTCTTTGCAATTTACACTGGGTAATTTACACTAGCTAGTTGACCAGCTAGACATCCACCCGATCGTCCCCTCGATCGACCAGTGATTTGATGAAAGATCCAAATCCTCTATTGGAGCGCGCGATATTAGCTGAAACTTTTATTCAAATTTTTACTCAAATTTGATGGGAAAAAAAAAAGATTAAACATTAGAGATGCAGATATCACGCATTTCAATAGAGTAATATGAGATTTCATCAAATCACCGGTTGACCGGGAGATATCCGGCCGGTCAACCGAGGGGACAACCGGCTCGACATCAAGCCGGTCATCCGATGATGGTGCATGCTGCAAATTTCCAACAACTATGTACAGTAAATTGATGAAAGACACATTCATCCTTAATTTGATGAAAAGTTTAGGATATCGTGGATTTGAAATTAGTTTGATGTAAGCATTGGAACAACAAAAGTCTAAAGGTGAAGCGTTAAAGATGACCTTAAGAACACAGATTAAATCATTTTCGTCAATAATAACTATAGGTATAATGAAAAATGCAAGAATAAGCAAATTATGTTTTTGTAATAATAAAGCATCAACATTACAATTACTCTTATGAATAACAGATTAAATCATTTCAGTCAATAAAACTTACAAAATTAAAGAAAAATGCAAGAATAAGCAAATTATGGTTTTTGTAAAGAAATAATAAGTCAAGTAATCTTAAGAAGACACAGATTAAAGCATTTTAGTCCGTAAAGATTTACAGATTCAACCCAAAAAAAAAAATAAAAATACATGAATAAACCTATACCTGGAACTACTACCCTTGAACTGGTAGACATGGGCGTCCACCTGTTTATAATCTACAATCTGTTCTTGTCTGTATAATCCAAAAACAACCCATTAATCCTAGGTCTGCATATTCAATTTCCATATATTAGAAATACAACCAAGACAAGATAGACAAAAGATTCTCACAGAGAAGAGGTCAAATTATTGAGAAGCTTCTCAGAAACTTGAAAGAAGAGTAATACTATTTCAACAACAAACTCTGGGTTGCTCTCATCTTCCAGTTTCTGAAGCTCCCTAAACTGATCATCCAATAAACCCTTCTCGCAACACAAAAAACAACAACCCATCATTAAAAAAATCAAAGAATCGAAATCAAAGCCACAGATATCAAAAAAGAACCCTAAACAAGGCAACCCAATTGAAATTTTTTCGAAATATACTGACCTCGCGATAAAGGGGAGTTGTGTAAATGTCTCTGCAACTTTGTGAAATATACTGACCTCGCGATAAAGGAAAGTTGTGTAACTGTCTCTGCAACTGACGGATACCATCCATGGCTGCTTTTTGCTGGGTTGTTTGTTTGGCCTCAAATTGCTATGTCAAAGGGGCAGACCTTAAAGAAGCTGAGGAATCCAAATGGATAGACGTTTTGGTTGGAATTTAATGAAATTAAAATTGGTGTGGTAACGTCTGCTATTTGCTGGGTAGTGGGTTGTTTGTTTGGCGTCAAATTGCTAAAGGCAGAACTTGCTGAGGAATCGAAAAGGATGAGGGGAATTTAATGAAATTAAAATTGGTGTGGTAACGTTTTGAAAAGGAATTTAATGGGGTTGTTTGTTTGGCGTCAAATTGCTAAAGGCAGAACTTGCTGAGGAATCGAAAAGGATGAGGGGAATTTAATGAAATTAAAATTGGTGTGGTAACGTCTGCTATTTGCTGGGTAGTGGGTTGTTTGTTTGGCGTCAAATTGCTAAAGGCAGAACTTGCTGAGGAATCGAAAAGGATGAGGGGAATTTAATGAAATTAAAATTGGTGTGGTAACGTCTGCTATTTGCTGGGTAGTGGGTTGTTTGTTTGGCGTCAAATTGCTAAAGGCAGAACTTGCTGAGGAATCGAAAAGGATGAGGGGAATTTAATGAAATTAAAATTGGTGTGGTAACGTCTGCTATTTGCTGGGTAGTGGGTTGTTTGTTTGGCGTCAAATTGCTAAAGGCAGAACTTGCTGAGGAATCGAAAAGGATGAGGGGAATTTAATGAAATTAAAATTGGTGTGGTAACGTCTGCTATTTGCTGGGTAGTGGGTTGTTTGTTTGGCGTCAAATTGCTAAAGGCAGAACTTGCTGAGGAATCGAAAAGGATGAGGGGAATTTAATGAAATTAAAATTGGTGTGGTAACGTCTGCTATTTGCTGGGTAGTGGGTTGTTTGTTTGGCGTCAATAAAATAAAATTTTATTTAATCTAGCTAAAAAATTAAAATATTAAAGATATGTTTAATATTGTTATTACTTAGTAAACAATTAAAAAATGGTAAAATAGTCATTTGTTCATTTATCCTATTCAGTCCGTCCAACCAAACGTTAAATTCACTAAAAATAGTCATTTCCAAACATCTAATCTCATGAAAAAATAAACACAGGATACACATCCAATCTAATCAAATAGTCCGGGGGTTCACAATCTCAAGACTCAAGTTCGATAGATTCTAATCCTCCCTTACCCAGTCCGTCCAATCAAACATACCCTTAATGAAATTAAAATTGGTACTTGCTCAGAGAGAGAGAGAGACGTTTGTCCTAGTCTTCTTCTTCTTCTTCCTAGTCTTCTTCTTCTTCTTCTACCCTTTTTCCCTCAAACTACCATTTTTAACACTTAAAAATAGAGGTTTTTGTAGTTGACAACTAGGCCAAAACAGCATGCAAAGGTGGCCAATAGGGCTGAGCAAGGAATCCGTGAAATCCGTAATCCGATCCAGTCCAGTCCAATCCGATAGGTTTGGATTGGTTTTTTGAATCCGCGGTTCGGTTCCGGATTGAAGAATTAAAAATCCGTAGTTCACGGATTGGTTCCGGATTGAATCCCACGGTTCCGGATTGGAACCGATCCGGACCGTATACAAATAGTCTATATTTTTATTATACATCCTCCCCTATAGTATAATCTCTTATTCTATGTAAAATGTAAACTCAAACCTAAAACCGTATAATATCTTCTTTTATTACTTTTGTTTGTTAGTTTTAAGTTTTAATTTGCAATGGTCTAAATACCTATGGTGAAACCAGTTTTCTTATGGTTGTTTAAATTCTAGAACAGTATGTCATTATTATAGAAAAACATGTTGCTATTATGGAACTAATATAGCGCTATGTTTATATTTTTATGAAATTCAAGTGTTATATATATATATTTTTGTTATATAATTATGTGAATCCGTGGTCCTAAACCGATCCAATCCGTATATAAATAGATTGGTTCAGATTGGTTCCATGATTTAAACGGATTGGATTGGTTCCAATTTTTCAAGAACCGTAAATAACGGATTGGTCTTGGTTTTACCCCAATCCGGTCTAATCCGGACCATGCTCACCCCTAGATATGGTCAATCCGAGGTGGGCGGAGCTAGGTGAGAATGTGCCTGTAATCAATAATGATATATGATAGGAGGTCTAACACAGCTTAGGAGTCTATTTCTACCACTGAGGTCATGTTTGTTTGAACGGATTGAATTAGATTGGATTAGCATTTTTATAATTAATCGTTTTAGGATTACGATTCCCTTTGGATTGTGTATCCTACCCAATATTTGGATTGAGTGGAGGGATTAATAGTTCAGACTTTAGCTTAGTCCGTATCTCACCCCCTCTGTGGGATTGAATAATTCATGATACCATATCCGGATAGATTGTTAGTCCGTACTTCAATTGTTTAACCAAATATCGGATTAATAATTTTATTGAATTATTAGTCCAATTCTAAAATCATGTCTACCCAAACAAACATAACCTAAGGGTATTAAGTTGTTGAGGGTAATATTTAATCCATCACGAAGGGCCCAAAGTTCAGCTGCTAGACAAGATGTAGAATCTATGTTTCTAGTGAAGCCTGCTACCCATTGGCCAAGATCGTTACAGATTAGACCACCACTAGAGGCCAGACCTAGATTTCCTTTTGAAGTCCCATCATTATTGAGTTTGAAGTATCCAGGAGGTGGTTTTTCCCATCTCACCAGCTTTGTGACTTATGTTGGTGAAGAAGAAGAGTTGGTGCAGGTGATGAAATGCCAAGAAGTAGCTTGGTTGATGACCTAAGGAGCCAAAAGGGTAGGGTTAGAAGGGAATGTTTGAAGGAAAAAAAAAAAAAATTATTTCTCTTTTTCCAAATGTACCAACAGGTGAAAGCAAAAATGGTTGGCTAGGGGACGGTGGAGTTGAGGAAAGGTAGTTGGTAAGTACGAAGTCAATTGGAAGAATTAAGGTCTCGTTTGACAACCTTCTGTTTTAGTCAAAAAGTCAAAAAATAAGTTGTCACATCCCAAGTGGCTTTGGCTAAAGAGCAATCACGAAAGACATGGATATTATTTTTTGTGTGGAAACCACAGTCTAGGCAAGAGGGGTCCGAAGAGATTCAACGATGGTATAGGAAAGATTTAGTCATGATTTTATCTTGTGAGGGTAGCCAAAGGAAGTGGTGAATGTGGGGGTGAAGTCAGGGTGGACCAGAGCCAAGACTAGTTTGCGAAGGGTGTGGTAGAGCACGACAGGTGTAAGAAGAAGTAGGCTAATTTATTGGAGAGGCGATATTATAGGGGTGTTCCGTGTTTTCTAAGTAAATCACAAAGAGTTAAAGTATAATTTATCCTTATTTTTTTAATTTTTTTTTTCCCCTTCACTTGGCTCACCAATTAGCGTTGTTGAGCTTGCTTAACAAACTAACTTTGTGTAAGTTTAAGTCGTTAAAGCTTAGTTTGGGGTCATTATAGAAAGCAAACCAATCTCAGCCTCAGGCTAGAGAGAGAGATTGGGTAAATTTGTAAAGCTTATAATTTACCATAATTTATAAAGCTTATACGATTAGATTGGATAAATTTGTTAGGCCCAATTATAATATGGGCCGGACTTGAGGGGAGTGTTTCAACCCCATCGTAGCCCAGCCCGCTCACAAACTATATCATATATATTTTTATAAATATACATATTTATATATATATTTTACATTAATTAATTTATTTTTTATAAACATAAATCATTTAAACTACCTGCCCGAATAGACTGAAGAAGCACCTAAACAATTAAATCAATTGTAATTTTGATTTAAAATATGCAAAAAATATTTATATTAAATAATATCTGGGCATGCTTGAAATTTTTTATTTTGTTTTATTGAAAGACATAGGAATAAAGTATAAGTCCAATCCCAGAACAGGTGAGTCTTGAGAAATGACTATAATTTTTATTATGTAATATGAGCTCGGCCAAAATCTGCACAAACACAGCCCATGTACACCCCTGTCACGCCAATGTTCTGCTTGATTCATCTCATCATGTGAAGTGCTCTATGTCAAATAGGTAAAAAGGGAATGGTTGTTTCATCAAGGGAGCATCTATTTACACACATCAAATACCCTCTTTGCACATCTTTCTCACTACACACACCAAAAAAATTAATTCCTAATTAATCTACTCACTACACACACGGTTTATTCCACAGCTGCCCTCACACACACACACACCCCTCGACCCCAAACCCAGCTCTCTCCCAACGGTGCAAATACACACACTCATTGAAGCTTAAGCTACATCTTCAACCTTGAAAATACATACACCCATTGAAGCTTAAGCTACATCTTCAACCTTGAGGATACACACACCCATTGAAGCTTACCGTGTGCAAATACACATACACAGCTTTCATCCCCAAATACACACACACAGCTTTCATCTTCAACCTCTGTCAGTAACAATAAATCACAAACCTACTGTTAAAATAAATCACAAATGAATTAATCAAAACGTAGAGTTTTGTTTTTATCATTTTGAAAACGGATGAAGGCCCACGGAGTGTAAACAAACTGTTTGGAACTGGTTTGCCGAAATTAATTCATTTGTTCGGAAGTAGGATTCCGAAATTGGTGATTTATTTCAACAGTAGGTTTCCGAAACTTTTTGATTATTTCGGCAGTCAACTTCTGAATATATTAAATTCAAACAACAATCAAGTTCCAAAATTAATTTTTTGTTTCGGATTTCAACTTTCGAACAGTATATATACTTTCGGTTTTAAACTTTCGAACAGTGTTTTTCTTTTTTTTCTTTTTTTTTTTCTCTCCCGTCTTATGTATATTCTTTTTACATTTGTGGTAATCTCTTATTGAGTGATAAATAATTTGAGAAAATGTATTAAAATTTTAATTATTGTAACATAATTTATACCTATATGAATCAATCACCACGTATTATATTTGAGATCACCTTTTGAAATCTTGTTTGAGCTTCAATGGATACTAACATGGAATTGAAAAATGATATAGCTTTGTTTGGGGATAGAATTAGGGAATTCGAAACTGTAAATTTGGTATACAATTTGCAAATTTTTTTTTTTACTTCATTCGGAAGTAGTTATCCGAATTTATTTTCAAATTTCGGAAGTTGAATGTTGTAAAAGTTAACTTTGTTCGGAAAACAACTTCCGAAATTAAATAATTTTTTCGGACAACAACTTCCGAAATTTATTAATTTGTTCGGACAACAACTTCCGAAAATAAATAATTATTTCGGTAGTAGATTTCTGAACCAAATAACACAATTCGGCTCTGGTTATCCGAACGACGCTGGAAAAAAAAGAAAGAAAAGAAACTCGCATTTCCTTCGCTATGTTTCTCATAAATACTTATTTGCTGATTTTCAGAAGACAAATCCTCCATATCAATAATGAATGAGGAAGAAGCTACGAATAAGGAAGGTTGAAGCTTCAGCTTCAACGTGAAGTCTGGATGTGTGCATTGAGATGAATTTGGTTGATGTCTAAAATAGTAATTTCACTTAGGGATAAAATTGTAATAAAATTAAATATCATTAAGTGTGTGTATAGAGGGGATTAGGTGTGTCTATATAGAAGCTCCCAAAATCTCCAATCTTTCCAAACATATGTATATATTTGCAGCATAAAGACATAGAACCATGTGTCTCATCTTTAAAATTATATACACAAATTCATTGCAGCAAAATCACCTCTCGAGTAAGTGGTAAAAACATCAAGCCCCCATAACACAACCCATAACAAGTATATATACACATCTGCAATGTCACCCAACTCCAAAGTCCAAACCCCGGACTTCATATTAGCAATCAAACATTCCTCCTCAAAACAAATCTGAAGAATTAACAAATATTTACGACCACAATGTTCTTTCATTCCTTCCATTTCACCCTTTCCCCCTTTTTTCGAAGAGAAAAAAAATATTATACATTATGGAGAGAACTTGGTCATACTGAAACCATCATCTATCTATACACGATGCAGCTTGACAGAGTTTGAAAGCAGGCGTATAAACCCAATGCTAGACCCTGCATGAATTTTAAATTTCCATCTACAAAATGTACATGAGAAGAGAGAGAGAGAGAGAGAGAGATAGAGAGAGGATCACATACTGTGGCTTGTTTTGACATAAACATGTTGCCCCACTCTTATGCAGAGATGGCTCACAAGACGATACACTATTACCTTAAATAATTAACGGAAACCTTTCAACAATAGTTCCTCGCTTCTATGAAGAGATTAATCAACCTGCAACAAAAGAATGACGCTTGAAGAATTCAGTTATACATAATTTAACAAGAATTGCTTAATCAAAAACGCTCCATTTGTTTCGATGGAAAACATTTTCTAAGAAAACTTTTGTCAAAAAAATGTTGTCTGTAGAAAACATTTTATAATATTTGGTTGCAACCTTGGTGGTGGTAAAAAAAAAATTATTTCTCTTTTTCCAAATGTACCAACAGGTGAAAGCAAAAATGGTTGGCCAGGGAACGGTGGAGTTGAGGAACCGCCTTTCAAGAATTAAAGGCATTTTTTGCCCCAACAGGCTTGTTTTTCGTTTACCACAAAATGTTTTCCATTGACTTTCATTTTTCATCATACCAAACGCCACAAAACACACAAATATTTTCCAGAAAATGTTTTTTTGCCTAAACAAATGGAGCGTAAATATAGCCATGACTGCCCTCGTTAGATCCAAAGTGGCTGCATCTGTAACTTCACAATCCTACCTCCTCAGAAAAGCAAAACACGCCACCTAGCAATTCATCATTCTCCCCATCATCTTCAGGGTTTTCCCTCTCATCGTGTTTTTCGCTGCGGTCCACATCATCAGTTACAACTTCCGTTAACCTGCGGCATCCATCAAGCTCCAACACTTTACAGTAACCCTCCTGAAAAAATGGCTCAAAATCCGCCAGAATTTGAAGTTTTAAAGGTTTAGAACCCTCTGCACTTATATTCATAGCTGAATCAAAATGGTCAGCAGTTAGAATTGGATCATCTCTTATTCCGCAAGCGTCCGAAGTCAGAGTTGCTTCGGCAATAGCTCTTCTGCTAGAAGGGACATCGGTATCTACTGAGGACGACCCGCTTGTAATAGAGTCATCAACATGAGAATCAGTGTTCTTTGAATGTTCAGAAGGAAATGATACCATAGCCAAGGGTTTCTGTTTTGGTATAGAAGATTCAACATTGGCACTCCCTCTTCTTTCCTGATTTAACATATTCACAATCTCACTCATGAATGGCTTCTCGGAATTCATTTGATCCAAATCAAGTAAATTCTCGATTCTTCTTGATGATCCTGATGGAAAATTTTAGAATACAATGAGTTCTACATTTTAGAATTCAACCAACAAGAACAAGACAATAAAATATGCATCATATTAGTAAATATTCCTAATCCATCATTCACACTCTGTTTCTTCCAATGGGGAATGAATTCAGAAAAGCAGTAGATAGGCAGCATGTCATACTATAATGTTGGTCAGCAAAATTATTGAAAAACTTGCAGAACGGATTTACTCTAAGGTATTATTGTTCATTTATTCAGACCCATCCCCTAGACAGGTGACACCCCAACACAGATATTGCATGCATCTATACAAAACCCTTTTCAGCATTTTGTCAACAGTTTAGAAACGTGACCAATCATGTGTCTCATCTTCTCCATTATGATGCAACTTATGTCTTACCTCCATCTGAGCTTTCAGTGGAGCTAAGTGATGCTGGATTTGAGTGACAAATAACTGTTTCTTCAGTGACCTTGTCTCTAACCTGATGAAGCACTAAAGAAGAAGCATTGGGATATGCTCCCCCCAAAAGCCCTCTGCATAAATCAACGCAGAAAGAAGTCAATTACCTCATAGTAGTGCAAAGCAATAAAACGACACAAAATGTGTGGATACATGTAAACACATAAAGAGTTGTAATTCTCATTATAACTGTGACCCTTTTATCTTGTGATTCTCGTCATTACATATTTACAACCAATCCAATTCTAGGATTTGAGAAAGATTTCTAACCCAATTTAAGAGTTGCAAAACAAACACAAACAATGGATGGAGATAAAAGACCCCTAATACTCAATAAACCAAATGCACCTTTGGGAACTGCGAGGCATGGTAAGGACCAACAGTTACATATGATGCAAACTACAACAAAATCACAAGTGAATTGTTGGAAAACTATGAATAAAATTTACCAGAACCATTTCTCCATTGCAAACCAAATTCACAAAAAAAAAGAGTTGATTGTAAGAATTTATGTATTATTGATTGATGTCTTGATTGATAGATTACAAGATTCATGATTCCTATATATAGAAGAGGGTGAGTGTGTAGTGTTAATTTTAGTTTTTTTTTTTTTCCATGACAATATTATTTGAAAGTGAAGTTCTATATCAATTCTATATGCAGAGATTTAACATTCAAATTATTATCAGCATAACTCAACAATTTGAACAACAAAATTAAATGGGCCTATTTCCTATTGATTTCAGACCACAGTCGTCAAAAAAACATGTTTTCGGAAAACTCTTACTTTTTCCCCTTTTGATTAATAAGACATTGAAAAAGTTTTGGGAACACGTTTTTTCCGGACATTTTAGTATTTTTGTTATGAAATAAAAAACAAAAACTACTTTCTGGTGTAGCTGAAACTAGTTCTTTCTAACAGTATTTCCTTAAAACAGTTTTCAGAATAACGAACCAAAAAAAGAAAAAAAAAATTACATTTTCTATTTTCTAAACTCTGAAAACAAAAAGATGTTCCTAAAAACTCTGCAAAACACAACCAAAATTACACACAAAATTTCAACAAGAAGTGAACACTAATGCCCAAGACAAGAAAAGATAAAAGGATTATCACCTGTCATTCCAGCTTGACTTGATGCTACGGAAATGATCAAAAACAGGTAATAAATCCTTTCGTTTTATTTCCACTTCATGAAATGGGACCTGCTCAATTTCAAGTTCCCCACCCGCATAACCTTTGACTCTTGGAGGACTCATCATGTAGAAATGAATCTAAGACCAACAATGACATTGACAATGAATCACAACCAAGATACAGCACAATAAAGGAGTCACAAGTCTTGTGGGAAAAAAATACCTTGGAATTTTGCCATATTGGTAACCTCCCAGAGTTAATTTGCACCTCTGCATTGGATAGGTACCAATGGGATCGGTCATGGGGCTTTACTGAATCACTTTTCACCGTCTGTTTCCCCCCAACACTCTCACTTGTCTCCAGAAAATTTGTTCTATAGTTGTTGCCGATTATCTCTGAAACAGATTCCTCTCTCTCTGGCCAATCTGATCTTCTGCATACATCCCACCATTGAACAGGTTCAACCTTCACTCTCAACTCGTCATCTTGGGTATGCATGTAGGAACTTGACCGAGTTCTTAAACCATTGTCACTTAGTTCTACCCCAATTAATGGCAGAAGTTCATATTGAACAACATGACCCGACGGAGTGTAAACCAACAGATGTTCCAAGGAATTAATAACCCTTGATTGAACATTTTGAAAATCCCGAGATACAGAATTGTGAAAAACAGCAGCAACAGCACCAGAAGGCACAGAAATCTTTCCTGCTGCAGAAGCAGCAACATTGGTAACTGAATTAAGCAACCCAGAGTTGATATCTTTTATCCGGTTAACCACAGAAAGGGTAACAGGAGGTGGTGGTGGAGAAGAATACTGGTTAATAGTAAAAGATGAAGTAGACCACCATGGTAGAGTTAAAACTGGATATAGGGAGGGATCTTCGCCATGAGACTTGAGAGTTTGAAAACCAGCATCACCACCGAAAGGGGATAGAACATAGATATGGCAAGTCCCCTTGTTTGAGATAATAGCAATCCACTGACTATAAAGACTAAAGCAAATGTCTTGGATAATCTATCAAGAAAAAAAATCAGGGGCAAAAACAGAAAGATGAAAACCATTAACAACCATCTTGGAAAAAAGGGTAATAACAAATAAAAAACAACGTGTACTAACAGCTGTTGTTATTCCACGATGCAGCTTGTAAAGATGAACATGAGCAGAGCTCCAGTCATAGTTTTGACTGCCTGATCCATTGCGTGTACAAAATGGCATGATCCGGAAGATATTTATGTTATTTCCATGAACTGAAGCAGTAACCAGAAGTGTTCCACTTGGATCAAAACATAATGCAGATATTGGACTAGTATGAGCCCTAAATTGTGATATAACAGCTCGAGATATGAAATCTTTCACAGCAACCTGCAACCACCAATGGGAACCAGAAAATTAAAAATTATTCTTGCATACGCCAAAAATGTTGTGACTTTCCATTGAAGACATGAAAAAATAATCTACCACCTTTTTCAGCTATCTATCTTTCTTTTTTTTGGGTGAAAAAATAGAAAATTTGCATGGTATGAGAAAGATGAAATTTGTTCAGCCTACTCTCTAACAAGTGGTATTCTTACTCTAGGAAGCACAGACACTCCAACATGTGTGCCATGTCCATGTCCAACACATATCATACATGTGTTTCCACATGTCAGACACACCACATTGCATGTCAATTTTTTTGTGAGGTTTTCTTTCTTTTCTTTTTTTTTTAAATAAAATAAAAAAATAAAAAATAAAACAATTACAAAGCTTATTTGGGTTGGGTCAAAGTAAAATAAAATATATAGAAATAAAAAGAGAGAAAAAAAACCCGACATATCTATTGATGCCTTTTATATCTTTGTGCCCTAAATTTATATTCATATACATAACATTTAAAAATATTTTTTTTGTTGTATTCCTGCAGTATCCATATCCTAATTTTTTCAGAATCCCTTCGTCTGTGCTGGTGTCTATGCTTCTTAGTTCCTAATTTAAAGAAAGGAAGCCATTTTCCAACAGTTCATATATAGTTTACAGTTATTATTGGTTAAACAACCCAATTGAAATGTTCCGAGCATAGCATGATGGGGTTCTCAAATTTGATTTCCAGAATATGTACAAGTTCACAGCGCACAGAACTAACCATTCCAGCATTCTCCATTTCTGACGTTGCAAGCCTACTAACTTTCCAGCCTGAACTTGATGATACTGGAGAACTTGAACCATCTGGAAGCAGATCCGGACAGTATCTTGAGAAAGTTTTGTATCCCATATCACCCAGATTGATTATACCAGCAGCCAGCTGTTTGCTGGATTCCATTGCATAACGAGCCATCAAACTACCGCTGCCTGGTGATGTTGATGGGCTAACGCCTGGAGAGGGAGTAAAATTCTTTGGGCTTAATCGACCTGTGTTTGACACAAGCGGGTTGTCGGAAGCATAAGCTAACCACCTTGGACCTAGTGCCATTGGTCCGTAACCAATATTGACACCAACTGATCCTTGTCCTCCAAACTGAGGCATGGGATAGGTGAGAACACTGAATTTATTCTCAAGGGTAAGTGCATCAATGCAATATATCTGCCACCACACATAATAAACATTCGTTAGCCAACAGATTCTTGGTCCCAACAATAAGCTAACTCAATTGAATCATACAAAATCCAATTTTATAAACATGAGTGCCTCAAAGAAAATGAATCAATGATAGGTGCACCACACCTATAGAGCATGAAAACACTTGTTTAGCCCTTTTTGGCTGCCAGGGTTCTTATTCTTCCTAGCTAATGAAAGAAAATTGGCCCAAACCAATTTAGAAAATAACAAAATGGTCCAAACCCATTATTGGCCTTTCAAATAACAGTGGTGATAGATCCCACTAAAAATGGACCACTAAGCCAGCTCTAATGAGCTGGCAGTCTAGAAAATAAAAAAAAAAGAAGCATAAGCTAACCACCTTGGACCTAGTGCCATTGGTCCGTAACCAATATTGACACCAACTGATCCTTGTCCTCCAAACTGAGGCATGGGATAGGTGAGAACACTGAATTTATTCTCAAGGGTAAGTGCATCAATGCAATATATCTGCCACCACACATAATAAACATTCAGTGGTGATAGATCCCACTAAAAATGGACCACTAAGCCAGCTCTAATGAGCTGGCAGTCTAGAAAATAAAATAAAAAAACAAAAACAAATAGCAAAACATCAAATCAATTAGGGGCACAGTGTTTTTAGAGCTATTAGAGCTCATTATTTTAGTGGTCTCAAACAATTTTCTTCAAATAAAATAATAATAATTATTTTTAAAAAAAATTAACAGTCTCTTCCCCGGATACATCACATCAACAAGAAGGTTTTCTTTCTCCAATCTCCAAGTGTAATATAGTTTTGTGGAGAGGTTGATTCCCGTGACTCACCATCGTATGTGGTCATGACCTCTATGCACTTCATAAAGAAATAGTAATTTTAATTTACAATACACAAAATCAGTTGTTTGTTTATTTTAATCTCGTGAATGTCTCCATTAAGCTAGAGCTTACTTGTGTTGCAAGACCGACAGCCACTATCCGAGAACTACATCTAACCATACGCACAGCTGACCGAAACTTCAGCATCTGCACAAAACAGTTACACCTGAGAGAGTAAAAGCAAACAGCCGTAGGGGAGTTGACATAGTTGACTGATTGAGGCTCCACAGTACCATCTCTGCCTAAACCGCCCAAATGGCCACTAGTTTGACCCAGGCTTGAGCTGTTTGGTTCATCCCTTGCAACAACCAACAGTAAAGGATGCGATGATCTGAATCCTTCAACACTATCGGATTTTGCAGGAATTGGAAGCATCTGTAAAAATGTAACTGGACCATCACGCTTTGAAACCAATTCGATGAAGTTAGAGGCATCCTCAACATCAAAGACTTGGAAACCATTCTGATAACCAAGTAAGAGAACTTGTTTGAAGGCAGTAGGACCAAATTCTAGTTTGTCAAAGCCAACCCAGGTTACCTGTTTATCAATAGAAGTTCAGAACTACATCCTGGTAAATGTAGTGCAATAGAAAACAAAGAGAAACAAATGCCAGAGGCAAAGAGTCATAAGTCCACCACCACCACTAACTCAGGTAAGTATGGTTTTGCAAAAATCAAAATCAACAATTCATAGTTTACAATTGATTTAGTATACACATGCTGGTTGAAATAGACATCAACACAGCATGATATTTATGATATATATCTGTGTGAACCTGTAAATAAATTTGAAGCTAAACAGTCAAGGAAGGCCACTCCGCTAAGTGACAGTTATCCTTTGTATGTGGCATATTTTTAGTTCTGTCTCATGGTCATATCAGCAAACCCTTTCCTCATTCACTTACTAGAGCTTTCCCTATCAACACATACATACATGAGAAACTCATACAAATTACAATAATTTTACATGTGGTGATCCTGCTATCATGTTACTTTCAAATATACCACATACGTTGAAGAATAAAGCAGCTCTCCGTGCTAGATTGAATTATCCATATAAACTGCCCGTCTAAGTTTGTTACTAGATACTGTCTAGTGTCATGAAATGCAACATGACTTTCTAAACTGTTACAACTTTTGCCTCTTATTATCAAGATCTTTCTCAGCTTAGAAGGGAATTTTCAAAATTGTTGTCCATGGTAGCTACCACGATTACCTACTAATAACGATATATTGACATGATGCAAATTACATGGTATTTCATATATGATGAACAAAGCCCGGTAAAAAATATTTACAAATGCACGCACAGAATTAAGGTGGAAGAGAAAATTTGTATAAGAATTGTTGGTCGATAATTATAACTTTTTTTTGGTAAGTACGCATCTATTACCAAAATGAGAAGACTATACAACAAATGACCAAACACGACCAAGAAGCTCATTCCCTCACAAACGAGGCAACTCAACACTCACCTAGTCTAAAAAATATAAAAAAACAAAATCCACTCACAAGCTTGAGAGGCTAGGCCTAATGAAAAAACAACCTCTCACAATCCAAGAGGATTAGACGTAGTGAGATAACATAACCAACAACACCATCACAACACTTCATTCTAAAACGCAAAATCAACATTTGAAATTAGCAAAATCAACATTTGAAATTAGCCCCCATCACCTTGTTCTAGTAAGCTAAGAAGCATGAACACTTCTATAAAAGAAGCATGTCGTGTCAGACACCCATGTCAGATACTGACGCTCATCAAACACTCCTAAAAGCGTGTCTAACACTTCTTTAACATGTCTTAATTAAAAATCAAATTTATAATATTAGACTTTATTGACACTTCTTGAACCCTCTGAATATATTTTATGTGATGAATCCCTTCATAATAATAATGTTTTGCACTCTTCAGAACACAACTTATGCACTCTAAATATGTTTTGAAATATTTATAAAATGAATATATCATATGTATTACAATGTTTATTTTGCATATATATAATGTGTTAGGTCTTATTTCAGTGAGGCTATGAGTTGTTAGATGCGAATCCAACCCGAATCAAGCCTTTCAGAGAAGTTTGTGATGCTAATACTTTCAAGATTGCCACTTCGCTGATGCATTCCAAGTTGCCTGTCCGCTCGAGCAGAGAATCTCTAATTCCAGAAGTTTTGGTCGCCTGTAAAAGTACTGAGCTGTGTGATTTCGCGCTCGAGCGGGTTCTCTAGCGCTCGAGCGGACCTCTGTTATATTTCGTGCATATTTTGCTGAAGCCGCTCGAGCGGGCTGTTTGGCGCTCGAGCGGAGATCGTGATACAGATTCTATAAATTCGCATGTTGGGTCAGATTTTAGGATTACTACTCCAGATCTTCTTTTTGGGCTCTAGGGTTTATATCTGGGGATATTTTGCTAGTTTTCTTTGATGTTTTGTTTGAGTATTCAACTCATAGTTTAAAGATTATACAACAAAGGTTTGTTTGTTTATTCTACACAAAAGAGAGAGTTGTTCTTCGGTAGATTCTGAAGAATTCGAGCCTGAAGCTTTGGTAGATTCCGGAGTGGCTCATTGTCAAGATAATTCCGAGGTGAAGACGGGGTTGGAAGAGACACATAGAGGTTAGTTCAATTCTGGCGTGGATTCGCTAGGTAATTGAGAGTATACCGGTGTAATTCCTTTATATCTTCTTAGTGGATTGTTTTGTGGCTGTTGCCCGTGGTTGGCTAATCAAGGTTTTCTGTTCTTCACCCCATATTTTATTGAATATCTTATCACTTTATCGCCAATCAACACTTTACACGTATTCCATTACTTATCTCCAAATTTTATCACTAATTTTCTATCTCTTTC